CATGCTCCGCCTCCTGGCGGCGGCACGCGACGAACAGCCGCCCCGCCCAGGGTCAAGTGGCCGCAATTGCCCTTTCGGGCCGGCGGTCCGGGGGGGATGCCGAAAAGCACCGGCCCCCATTCCCGACCGGCTTTCCGGCGGCGCGTGCGCCACTTCTGCCCCCTTCCCGCGGCTCGCCTGGCCGCCGGGGCCCGGCCAGAGCGGCCGCGCGGCTGCGGTGCGTGCCCCGCGCCGGGCGGTGCTGCCACCCGGGGACCACGAGCGGGGTGCAGGGGGGAGGGGGGGGAGGGAAGATGGCCGACGCCGACTTTTCGGCGGGGAGGGGCACGCCGTCTGGCCGGGACCGGCCGCTTGTCATCCCCCAGCTTCTCCTCCCCCTCGCCGACAGGCACGTTCGTCTCCTTCCCGAATGCCATCTTCCTCGCGAGGTGCCATGAGGCCGCCGCTGGCGAAGCCGCCGCCGGCGGCCAGCCCGCGCCGCCGCCGGCTCCCGCAGCCCCTGTCCCCGGTGGCGGGCTTGCTCCTGCTCGTGCTGGCCAGCATGGCCTCCTTGTGGACCGCCGCCGCCGCCGCCGCCGCCGCCGCCGCCGCCGCCGCCGCCGCCGCCACAGCCGACACGCCCGCCCCGGGCCTCATCTACTACCAGCGGGGCTATGCTCCGCTGAAGGCCGACGGGTATGGCAGTGTGGAGCAAATCCACCTCCAGGGCCTGGCGGTGTCCCCTCGCGCCGAGGCCCAGGGATACATCAGCTTCAGCCGGCAGGATGGCCTCGACCTGGACGTGCACCCGGACACGCGCCTCGGGGCCTTCCTGCCGCCCAACACCTCCGGCATGTACATCCCCCACCCGCAGCCGGTTAACGTGGAGTTCTTCTTCCCGCAGGCCCTGCTGCCGCGGTACGACGCGCTGACGCTCGTGGCGGCCGGGCAGCTGCAGCTCTACCCGGCGGCCGTGCGGCCGGCCACCCCGCCGCCGGTGGGCTTCACCCTGCCCGGGGTGGTCGGCCTGCTGGCCGGCTTGCACCTGGACGCCAGCCGGACGGCTCTGCTGGTGCGCACGGACGCCGGCACCCTGGCCCACGTTCTGCTGGATGGCAGCCAGGCCTCGGTCACCATGCTGGAAGACCCGGCCCCCCAGCAGGTCCACATCGCCCACGGCCTCGGGCCGGTCTTCCATGTGGTGCAGGATGGCAAGTACTCGCGCGTGGGCGCCGCGTCCGGGCTGCAGGAGTCCATCCCCGGCTCGGTCGGCCAGGGGTCCCTGCGGCAGGTGCTGGCCACGCGGGCGGTCACCAGCGACCCGACCCGGCAGGACCTGATCCTGCTGCAGGCCAATGGCACGGTGCACATTTGCCCGAACCAGATTGCCGGCGACCGGTGCACCAGCCCCAGCCTGAGCATCTCCCTGCCGGCCGGGGTGGCGGCCGGCGGCCGGCTGCTCAATCCCCCGGTCCTGGGCCTGGCCCAGCCCCTGGGCTACATCCTGTACCATGATACTGCCAGCAACCGGGTGTGGCGCTTTGACCTGGGCCCCGGGGCCACGGCCGTCACCCACACCCGCCGGGTGGTGCTCTACTTCGACCCGGGCTACATCGAGCCGACCAACCTGCGCATGCTGGCCTTCCGCGGCCCGGACGGCACGCCGGCCTGGCACCTGGTCGACGACCACCGGGTCCACTTCACGCCGGAGGCCTTCCAGTGCCAGAGCGACCGGTCGATTGTCTGTGCCACCGAGGGCACCCCCCTGGCGCGGGGGTGGTCCTGCATCGCCGGGCACGCGGTCACGCCCCTCAGCGAGAGTGGGCTCTTCTGCGGGGGCTGCACCACGTCCATGACCACGGCGCTGCACCCGCTGGAAGAGGGTGCGTGGCCTGCAAGGGCATTGTTCGCGGGGGGTGGGTCATGCGTGTGTGAGTATATGTGTGTGTGAGTACATGTGTGTGTGTGAGTGTGAGTACATGTGTGCGTGAGTGTGAGTATATGTGTGTGTGTGAGTGTGAGTACATGTGTGTTTGATTGTGTGCGAGTGTGAGTACATGTGTTTGTCCATCTATGTGAGCATGTGTGTGTGCGTGTGTGGATATATGTGCGCGTGCTTATGCGTGGGCGGATGCGTGACATACATGTGCATCGCACACACATGTACAAGCGTATAGACACATATACGCCCCCCCCCCGGCCCCCCCGGCCCCCCCGGCCCCCCCGGCCCCGGGAAAAGGCAACACAAAAACACACGCCCTCTTCCTAACACACCCGGCGCACATAGCCCATTGCGAGCGGTGCGCCCTATCCGGCTGCCGGGTGTGCACGCCGGAGCACTGCCTCGTGTGCGCCCCCCGGGAGAGCCTCCTCGTGGACCTGGTCACCGGCGTGCCGGCGTGCGTGGCCCAGTGCCCGGCCGGGTGGCGCCATTCCGGGGCCTTCTGCCGGCCCGAGGACCCGGGGCCGCAGCTCCGCCTGGACTGGCAGCCGGTCGAGGTCACCCACCCGGCCACGGTCACCCCGGGGGCCATCACCGGCATCGGGGCCACGCGCATGGTGCCCGATGCGGCCGGGGCCCTGGTCATGGCCATGCCGGAGGCGGGCCAGGCCGAGCCGGCCCCCGGCCCCCGGGCCCGGCCGCTGATCTTCCACCAGCAGAATGCCGTCCTGTGGATGGCCGAGCAGCCGGATGGGTCGCTGGCTGGCCAGCCGGTGACCGGGGTGCCGGTCGCCGGCCAGGTGACCGGCATGCTGGAGCTGGAGCTGCCCGACCGGCACAATGGCTGGCCGGTGCTCGGGCTGTTCCTGTGTGTGGACGGCAAGACGGCCCAGGTGACGGTGGCCCGGTGCGAGGCCGCCATCGCCCCGGCCCCGGGGGCCAGGTGCCCGCCCACCTATGAGACCCTGCTGGCGGAGAATTACTCCGAGTGCCACTTCCAGCGCCTGGCCCCGGCGGCGGTCAGCATCCTCAGCCCGGGCATCGTGCGGGTTGCCTCGTTCGACTCGTCGGCCCGGCTGCGCCTGCAGTATTGGAACCGCCAGGCCACGCACCCGGCCTCCCTGGACCCGGCGGCCGCCGAGCCGTACCTCATCATGGCCGGCCAGCAGCGGACATTCATCCAGCCGGCCGCCATGGACTACGGCGACCCCCGCCAGGCGGCCCTGCCGGATGCCAGCAGCGGCGAGCCCCTGCTCAAGGCCCTGCCGGTGAGCATGCCCGGGCCCGGGCCCGGCCGGGCCGAGCTCGTCGTCACGCGCTTCGCCACCGACCCCACCGAGGCCCTGTGGGTGGCCGTGCACTTCCCCCGGGGGATGGCCCTGCATGGGAAGACCGCCGGGCTGGATGGCAATGAGCAGGTGCTGGCCCGGCTGCCGGCCGCGTGGGTCCCCTCCAACGGCCGGCCCCGGGTCCTGGCCCTGGACCTGCACATGGCCGACTTCCCCAGTGCCCTGGTGCTGGTGCTGAAGGATGCGGTGGCCGTGGCGCCGATGCACTGCCCGGCGGCCGGCGGCGGCCTGTGCTGGCTGCAGGAGGCCATCACCCTACCGGTCCCCGGGGAGGCGGGGCTCTTCGCGCCCCCGGGCGAGGCGGCCCTCGTCCCGGTGGCCGGGCCCCCCGGCCCGGGGAAGGTCTTTTCTCTGCTGCTGCACCAGCCCCGGGGCCAGGTCCTCCGGCTGGACGCCCGGCTGCCGACCTGCCCCGAGGGGACGCACGCCACGCCGGCCGGCTGCCGGGCCTGCGACCGGACATGCGCCGCATGCCAGGCCCCGGGGCCCAGCCAATGCACCGCCTGCCCGCCGGGCGACCGGCTGCAGGATGGCCAGTGCGTGCCCCGGTGCCCGGCCGGCCAGTACTACCAGGCCGATGGGTCCGGCTCCGACTACACCTGCCACGCGTGCCACGCCTCCTGCCACCGGTGCACCGGGCCCGGGGCGCACCAGTGCACCGTCTGCCGGGCCGACTGGCTGCGCACCGAGGAGGACCTGTGCGTGAGCCAGTGCCCGGCCGGGGGCTTCGGCTGCCCGGCCACCGGGCGCTGCGCCCCCTGCTCGGCCCACTGCACCGAGTGCGCCCTGGCCGCCGTGCACCCGGGCGGCTGCACCTCCGCCTGCGGCGCCTGCGCAAAGGGCTGGCTGCTGGCCGACGCCACCAAGACCTGCGAGTCGGCCTGCCCGCCGGGGGAGTTCCTGCCCGCGGCGGCCGGGGCCACCGCCTGCAAGCCCTGCGACCCGGCCTGCCGCACGTGCCACCAGAGCGCCGACTTCTGCACCGCCTGCCCGGGGGAGGCGGCCCTGCACCCCGCGGCCGGCCAGTGCCAGCACCAGTGCACCCCGGGCCGCCAGATGCCGGTGGACATGCTGCACGAGGGGACCCCCGGCCGGGAGCCGGCGTGCGTGGCGTGCCCGGAAAATTGCGCCCAGTGCCCCACGGCCGGGGCCACGTGCGTCCGCCGGGCCGACGGGGCCATCGACTGCCCGGACATCCGGACGTGCGGCCGCTGCGCCGCCGAGGCCCTCCTGCTCCAGGGCCAGCAGTGTGTCTTCGAGTGCCCGGAGGAGGGGTTCTTCGCCGACCGCGATGGCCAGCACGGCCCGGTGCCCTCGTGCGTGGCCTGCCACGCCGAGTGCGCCGCCTCCTGCTCCGGCCCCGGCCGCGACCAGTGCATCATGCCGCGCACGGGCGCCGGCCGCGCCGTCGGCCTCGGCATCGGCCTGACCCTGCTCTGCCTGCTGCTCGTCGGCGGCGCGGTCGCCGTCTTCCTCAACCGTGGCCGGCTCTTCGGGGCCGGCCCCGCCAAGGTGCGCTTCCTGCGCCGGCCGCGCCCGGCCTGCCTGCCTGCCTGGCTGCGACTTTGACCTGCTTGCCGCACTAACCGCCGGTCTCCATCCATGGCCCGCGCATCGCCCCCTCCACCATCTGCCCATGTCCTGTGGCCCGGCCCCCCTGGCCGCGTGCAGGATGCCCATGGCGGTGCGTGACCCGGCCTCGGCGGTGTGCCCGGCAAATGCCTGCCTCCCTGTCCGGCGACTGTCCGATGCTAAGTCCGATGCTAACCCCCCCCCCCCCCCCCCCCCCCCCCCCCCCCCCCCCCCCCC